TGAGGGACAGAGCAGAAGGGGACACTCATCCCTTTGTCCCCAGGCCCAGAGACATGGTGGCTGTCTCAGGTCCCTACCTCTGCACATGCACACTCTCGGAGCAGTAAGAGGATTGTATTTCTTTTAATATCTACCCAAGCTCATCCTGAACTACAGTGATCCTCCTCCTGCCACTCCCTCAGCAGTTGACTTAACAAGGCTTCCTGTCCCTGTCCTGTCCCTGGTTACTTGTCCAGAAAGTAGGCAGGGATCTGCTGCCCCTGGGGTCTGGGCCAGATTTTGTCCTCATTTTCCACACTTCATTTTACCCGCTTGTAGGGATTCCTTCCCCTGCCCCTGCCCCCGCCACCGTTCCAAGTAATTACTTGAATCTTCACTCTGAAGCTTTTCCCTCAATCCATTTTCCATCTGTGAAAGAATTTAGAATATGGTCTGCCTTTTCACATATTAAATTATTTCTTAATCTAGGTCACCAGCTGTTGATATGCCCAAAATAAATGAAAACTGTAATCTCTCTCACAGAGCATTCAAGCCCTCATGAATTGTCAAAAACTCACTTTTTAGATAATTAAGGTCAAGTGTGTGTGATGACTGCAGTGGAGGATGGGGTTCACTTTTCTATGGGAGTGGGGCCTGAGAGAGCCTCTCCTGGGGCTTCAAGCATCTGTTTTTTTTTTNGGACGCCCTGCCTCGGGGGGCTTCCTGGCTCCCTGAGCGCAGTAGGAACGAACGGTTTAGCAGAGAAGCCACCAAAAAATCTGTTTAGACCAATAGGGCCGGATCGCGACCAACCAGCGGCTTTATGCTGTGCTGTCGAGTGAATCCTGGAGTGCAAAACAGAGATCTAGATACACACTGTGTGTGTGTCCCTGTCCCTTCTGAGGCCAGTGTCCTTCTTTGGAAGGTCAAAAATAAATAGGACCTGAACCTAACAGTTCTTCACTGCACATTTCTGCACAAATGGAGACGGTTTATTGCATTTTTAAATATCCGTGTTGCACGGGCTGGTTTCCCTCTTGTTTTGCAAGCCCCTCCGTGAATTGGCCACAGTAATTTATTTTCCTCTCCCAGAGATGTGCACAAATGAAACCCAGGTCCCCAGCAGGCACAGCCCCTAGCAGTTGGAGGGTATTGTACCAGGCACGGGGCTGGCCTGGCTGCCCTGGGGACTGATGGGTCTGACAGCTCTCAGTGTCCTGAGTACAGGACATTTACACTGTAGTGTGAGCATTGTATTTGGAAATGTACACCGGCTCATGAGCCCCATAACTGGTATCAGTTGAGCTGTGTTCTCTCACGTGGTGGTGTTTTCCATCCTCGGAATGCTTGGTGTTTGGCGTTTTCCTGTTCTCCTGTAAGTCACATTTGCCGCGTTGCACACTATGACAGTGAATGTACCTCTTCAGACCTAAACTCAGGGTGCCCCTCCACTTCCAGCTGACCATGAGGGACAGAGCAGAAGGGGACACTCATCCCTTTGTCCCCAGGCCCAGAGACATGGTGGC